GGCGGCGGGCTCGGTGGCGGCGGGCTGGGCGGCGGCGGACTGGGCGGCGGCGGGCTGGGCGGTGGCGGAGATGGCGGCGGAGGCGAGGGCGGCGGCGAGGGTGGTGGCGTCGTCGGCGGCGGCAAGGGCGGAGGTGGTGACGGCGAGGTCGACGGCGGCGGCGGTGAGGGTGAGGCGGATGGCGGCGGCGGTGCAGGAGACGGCGGTGGCGGTGACGGCGAGGCGGAGGGCGGCGGCAGCGAGGGCGGGGCGGAGGGCGGCGGTGGCGAGAGCAAAACGTATTGTGACTCCGTGGTCCTCCAGACATCGGTGCCTGGCAGTGCGAGCTCAAAAGTGAAACCGCTCTTGACCTTGATGAAGGGGCCTCCTGCAACGTCCTTCAGCGGTGGGGACAGATTCCAGCCGTCGTGGCTCTCCCCACCAAGGCCGAGCTTGCTCGAGATCGCGACGCCAGAGCCGCTGCTGTACATGTTCACGATCGTGGCGTAGTCGGTCACAGCACCAGTCGAGCTGGTGAAACTGCCACCGAGCTCCAAGCAAGCGTCTGCGGAGCGCACCATGTGGATATCGTCGATGCACTTTCCGGCGACAAAAGCGAGCAAGAAGGGCTGGTCGATGAAGAGGCAGTCGTTGGTGAGGAGTTGCGTTCCCCCGATCGGGCACCTGCTTGTCCAAAGGTGTACCCACGGCGTGGCGGGTGGAGATGACGGCTGCGCCTTCGCTCCTGGAAGGAGATCGGTCAGGAGCAAGGCGGGTCCGAAGAACCAGAACATTTTGGCAAGGTCGAGGTGAGAAGCGCCCGGCACCACGGGGTCGGGCAGGGGGTCGGGCGCAGGGTTGAACGGAGCAACGAGGGCGCCGCACGCAGTCTCAGTCTCGGTCGGGAGCGCCGCAGACGATGCAAACGCCGTTCCGCGCACCGTTGGGCTAAACTCGTTCTCTGGCGTGGTGTTGGAGAGGTCGAGAACCTATACACGAGTCAGGGCGTCCTTGGAGCCAATCTCCAGTTCTATTGCTTCCCGCATCGGGCACGAACACCGACTCGAGGAGCTCGGAGACGCCGCCAGAGCCGTACGAGGACAGAGCAAAGGCCGAGCAGCCCAGACCGATGACCACGGAGAAGAAGATGCACAGCAGGTTGGTCGAACACAGGTTGGTCGAACAGAACTTGCCGAAGCGCAAGCGGAAGCCGGAGCGCGTCGAGGCCGGCTCCGTCTCCTGCACGGCGCCCTAAACGTGCGGACGAGGGTTAGGCACGAGCAGGCACGCTGCACGGGCAAGGCAGCACGCACCGAGGGCGTCGTCGACGACGGCGGGGCGTCGTCGACAGACGCGTTGCCGGAGCCGACGCCAGCGAGGTCTTCCTCGTCGACGAACGCGTTGCCGGAGCCGACGCCAGCGAGGTCTTCCTCGTCGACGTCCGTTCCGAGCATGGCCGCGAAGCCGTTGGGGTCGACGCGGCCGATCGGGGTGAGGCTCTTGGTGGTCATCTTGGAGCGGTCGACCAGGTTGGACTCGCCCTTGCGCTCGATCTTGCGGAGCGGGGAGGGGATCTTCCACTCGTCGATGCCCTGCGTGTGACGTACGGCAGACGAGAGGTCACAGGATCGAGGTCACAGGATCAATAAGTACCCGCCTGTAGGACTCCCGTGTCCCCGCAATACCCGCGTGTGCACAGAAGGGTGCTGGGAGGCGCTCACCGCCGGGGTGGGCTTCTCCACTGAAAACTTCTCGGTCGAGACGTTCCAGTCGGCGTCGCCCTACACGCATCGAACGCGGGACGGGGTCAGGGTAGTGGGTCGGCAGACGCCGGCGCGCAGATTGCCAGGCGCTCGCCGCCGGGGCGGGCAGCCCCTCCTCGGCGTTCGCGCTCGGCTTGTGGGCGGAAAACATGACCTTGGCCCGGTCCGAGTCGACCGTGTCCGCGGCGGTCGCCTCTTCCGCGGCCAGGTCATTCTTGAGGATGCTCTCGTCGAGGGGGACCTCCGCGCCGGACTCGGCCACGGTGACGTCCTCAACGGGTGCGTTCTTGGCGCCGCTCGCCTGTCGGCGAGGGAGAGTGGGGCGCGTGTTGGAAGGAGACTGGCGATCTGCGACAAGCGCACACGCACCGCCTTGGCTCCGAGGAGCGGAGGCAGATTCGGCGCGGAGAAGACGACGACCTTGATGCTGCCGTCTTCGGCCGACATGATGCCGACCTTCACTGTCGTCTTGTTCTCTGACATGTTGTTGATCGAGTTCACTCGTACCTATGGCGGCGGGCAGTGGATGGCGGGTGTGTGAAATTGAAGGGAGGGGGGAGGGGGGGGGGGAAGTGGCGCTCTTAGTTGGTCAAACGGCTGAATCTCGGCCAATCTCGGCTAATCTCCTGCTCTGGTTGCTGCACGCGTTCGGGGCCATCGTTTCTCTCTGCTCTGAGAGCGTCTTTGGGGGGGGAATCGAGAGGAAGGGGGGGGGGGGGGGGCGCACCTACTCGCAGCGCACGCAGCTTGAGGCCCAGCACCAACGATCACCGCGGCACGCCCGTCTCGCCCACGTTGTTCTCTGCGAGGGCGTTGGCGGCGGCGGGCGAGCGTCAGTAGCATAAAATGGGACGAGCAAGGTACGGGCTCGTTGTGGGGGTCGCGGGGGCGCAGTGGCATGGAGGCGACCCGCGGCCGCGCGCTCAGCAGCGCTCCGACTGCGATCCAATTGTGCCAGATTCCGCGCGTTCGATGCTCGGACGAGCCGCTCGCACGGCGGTCGCAGCAGGGCGTGCAACGCGCACGGGCTCGCTGCAGTGGTGGTTGTGGGGCGAGGCGTGCCCGGGCACGCGCGTGGGCAGCTCTCCTCTCGGTCTGCGTCGCGCCGGGCGGCGGGCGAGGGGTGGCGCGCCTGCAATCTCTGTACTCGTCGCCGTAGCCCAAGAGGTGCCGCTGAGTTGGCCAAAACACGACGAATCTGATGAACAGCCACCAAAACCTAGGGAGGGGTGTACCTTCCGTGAAACGATTTTCGAGGTGTGAATACACCCCCTAGACGCGACGCCCCCCGAACCAACGGGCCAGACCCTTCCAGAGGGTGCCCCAGGGACGCCCAAAACCGGCCACAGCAGCCCCACAACCCTTAAACAGTACTCGGCACAACCACTCAAAGTTGGCCTCCCCCGGAGGTGTTTCACATTAGGGGCACCGTACGGCAGGCCGCCCTGAGCCCCCTAGGCGGGCCGCCGCTCCTCTAGCGCGTAGCGACCCGATGGGCAAAGGGCCCCCACCCACCCCAGACGCCCTCACGCCCTCTCCCCAGGCCTTAGCTGCGGCGCCGAGGGCGATCCCGCGCGAGGGATCGCTGCTGCTGAGCCGCAGCGGCCGCCGGCGGCGCCGCCGCCGCCGCCGGTGGCGCCGGTAGCGCGAGCAGCGGCAACGGCGGAGGCGCGGCGGCCGGCGAAGGTGCGTTGGGCAGCGCGAGGAGCGGCTGCCGCGCTCCCGACGGCGGCGGCAGCGCGAGCAGCGTGTCCGGCTTCTTGAGCAGCAGCGCGTCCAGCTCCTTTGTGAGCGCGTCTTTCGCGCCCTTGGCGGCGCCGCCGAGCACGGTGATGGCGCCCTGGAGCTCGGGGTTGCTCAGCTTTGCCTACGAGGGGAGGGAGCACGAGCGCTGAGCCAGTGGGAGGGCAGACAGGCGTGTGCGTGTCGGGAGGGCGGGGCTCTCGCAGTTACCTGCCGGTCGTCGCGGAGCTTGGCAAGCGCGGTCTCGCCGATGCGGAGGAGGTTCACGTGCTTGACGGCCCTGTCCGACTGCTTTTGGATGCGCCGCTCCTCCTTCTCCTCGAGCTGCGCCAGCTTGTTGTCGGCCCCCGACTTCAGGCGCGCCGTCACCGCGCTTGTCACCCACAGGCCGACCGAGGTGTCGGGCGGCGCCTGCCGGTCCACCTCAAGGGGCGCGGTCTGCTTTTTCAGCTCGCGCTGCTCCTTGAGCACGCGCTGCAGCTCCTGGACCGGGGTGATGTAGCTCGTCTCGAAGAAGTGCGCCGCCGAGGTGCGCACGACGAGAGTGTTGGTCGGGTCGGCGGCCTTGAGCTGGAGCACGGTGCGGTTGCAGGACGTCTCGGTGCGCGAAACCTCGGGCGCGGGGGGCGACTCCGCCTTCTTGTCGGCGGCGACGAGGTCGTAGACGGTGCTCACGGCCGACCCCTCGAAGTTCTCGGCGTTGCAGTTGAAGGGCGAGATGCCGCACGCCTTCGCCGCCTTGATGATGATGGCCCGGCCGGTGGTGTAGAACTCGTCCCATGCGGCCACAAGGAGGGGATTGAGGAAGTAGGGGCTGAAGGGCACGCCCGGGTTCTTCTCGAGCCAGTCGTCGTAGTTGCGCCCGTAGCCGCCCTTGACGCTGGCTGTGACACCGTCGGGAGGAGGACGGGTGAGATGCTGACTCTGGGAGGATTGTTCGAGATGGCGGCTCGCACCATTCGGGCCGTTGTCGTTGAGCTGGTCCGAGTCGGAGTCCTGCGACTTCAAAAAGAAGACGTGGATGTCGTCCTTCTCGAGGAGGACGAGCGCGTCGGCGTCCCAGTGGTTGACGTAGCCATCAATCAGGACGAAAGCGGGGCGGGCCGGGCCAATGTGCATTTGCAGGTGGCCGCAAATGAGGAACCAATCGTCCTTTGTCACATAGCCCGACTCGGAGGCGCGCACGAGCCACTCTTTGCCCGGCACCTTGGGCAGCCCGTGGCACAAGTCGCCGCGCATGCGCGCCGCCTTGTGCACGACACACGGCGGCACCTCGAGGGAGCCGTCGGCGCGGCTCCAAAAGAATAGCGTCACCCAGAATGGGTTGTGCTCGCCCGTCACGACCCGGTGCACGCGCTTCGCGCCCGCCCGCGCCAGGACCGGCACCCAGCGCTTGCCGTTGGGCTCGATGCCCATCTCGTCACCGCAGTAGATTAGGTGCGGCGGCGGCTCCCAGTGCCCGTCGGGGCGCCGGCAGCCGGGCAGCTTGCCCGCCTCGCCGAGCTCGTCGTACTTTGCCTGCAGGGAGTTGGAGGAGAGTCTCGGAGTGTCCCGCCAAGAGGGCAGGTTGTACGGGCGAGGGAGAGGAGGGGGGGGGGGAGAGGAGGGGAGTGGAGAGAGGGTGGCACGCCTGGATCTGGGCAAACATGGCCGCGTTCTGGCCCGGCTTTTTCGCCGCAGCGCGCGTCTGCGAGAGCAAGCACGCCTTCACCGGCTTGTAGTCGCCCTCCGCCAGCCTCGACACGCGCGCCTTGCAGTCGCCGAGCCATTTCCGCGACAGCTTGGCGTGGCCGAGCCGCTGCTTGAGCTCGGGGTCCGTCTCCTCGTCGGCCATCGCGGCGAGCGCGCGCTTGGCGTAGTTTATCTGCAGCCTCTTGCCCTTGCCGCCGCCAAGGTCCGCGTGGAACGCGCACATCTCGAGCAGCACCCGCTCCTCGTCCGGCAGGAAGAGGGTTGGCTTGCCGGCCTTGGGGAAGTCGATCGCGGCGACGACGAAGGCCACGTCCTCGCGCGTCGGCTTCTTCTCCTCGCCGAAGCCGGCGAGCTTGAGCGCCTCCTCCACCCGCTTCTCATGCCGCCAGAGCGTCGCCTTGGACGGGCCGTAGCGCAGCGTGATCGCGGGGATGCTGATCTTGTCCTCGTTGCGGAAGTGGTAGGAGACGAGCGCGGCGCGCATCTCCGCCATGCTGTAGCAGCGGTCGGGCACCGGCTGCTTCATGATCGCGGAGACCTTGCGGTGGAGGGCCTCCTCCTCGAGGCCGCGCGGCAGCTCGCTCATCGCCTTGACGAGGTTGCGCCTCTGGTGGGAAAGGTGAGGATACGTGGCCACGAAGGACCGCTCGTTGACATCGCCGCGGTAGAGCGCCTCCAGCGCCTCGACGAGCTGCGCTCCGAAGAGCGGGTTGGCGCCTGGTCTGGCTGCGAGCATGCTGCACCAGTGTCTCGGCTACCTGCCGCCGCGCCCCACTGATTGCCCCGAGATGGCCCGAGATGCGTACCCCTCGGCGGCCAGTGGGCCCGCCGTGACAGGCTGGGCCCACTAGAGCTGGCACCGTGCCAGCCGGCATGCTTAGGAGCGGCCAGAGGGCGGCGTGAGGCCTGCCGCCGCGCCTCGGCTCTCTGTGTCGCGAGAAAGAATCGTTTCAGTTTAGGAATCGTTTCACATTTCTTCCTCCTCTCCCTAGCCAGCATCGCAGGGCAGCGCCTCATACGTCGCCTCTGTGGGGCACTGGTAGCCTGCGGGGCAGCGGCCGGCGCAGCTGCTGCTCGACTGGTATTCGGGGTCGGCCGAGCCGAGGAGGCCGGCGGCGCAGGCGAAGGGGAAGTCCTCCTCGACGGGTAGCAGTGGCAGCTGGTAGAGGCTCTTGCCGAGCAGGGAGGGGTCGCCCTGCCATGCGGGATCCCAATTGCAGGGCTGCACACGAGTGGGCGGTTGACAGTACCACGACTCGTTGACGTTGTTTTGGCATGCCTGCTTGTCGTTCTCGGTGTGTCTGCCGCAAGCCCTGCCTTTCTCGTCCGACGAGGGCTCGAGCGAATAGCTCTCCGCGAGCGCGCAATCGTCGCGGTGCGAATAGCTCTCCGTGAGCGCGCAATCGTCGCGGTGCTCGAGGCAAGCCGTTTGCTCTGGTTCAGGGGTGTGCCGTTGTCGTCGTTGCCGTAAGTGCACGCCTTCCGGTACACCTCGCAGCGCGCGTTTGGCAGCCAGCGGCCGGCCGGGGCGGGGAGGGTGTAGGAGACCTCAGCGAGCAGGAAGACGGAATTCCCCTGACCCTTGGCAGAGCAGCCGCTGATGAGGGTGCCGTCGCTCAGGGAGGTGCTCCCTCCCGCCGAGTAGAGGCCGCCGCCAGACTCTGCGGCGCAGTTGGAGATGTTGGAGCGGGCCAGGCTGGCTGAGCCCGACGCCACGCACACTGCGCCACCCTGCGTTGAGCGTGGGGATGGATGTCATTTATGCGCTACTGGTCTGGTTCTCTCTACATGGTGCACATTGTAAGCAGAGCAGCTGCTGACCGCGCAGTCGATCAGGCTCACCTCGCCACCATCCACGAACACTGCGCCACTTTCCGAGGCCTGGCAGTCCGAGAACTCGGAATTGGTCAGGCTCACCTCGCCCCCCCACACGCTCAAGGCGCCGCCCCGCGGCTGGGCAGAGCAGCTGGTAAAAGTGGAGCCCTCCACCCTTACCTTGTAGCCTTCGTACCAATTATCCACGTACAAGGCGCCGCCCCAGTCGGTGGCCTTGCAATTGGTGACATCCGAGTTGATCAAAGTTAGATTGCCGTGGTGCACAAAAACAGCGCCGCCGTCCCTGTCATCCCCATTGACGAGGTTGAGTCGCTCGAGCGTGAGGCTGCAATCGCCAGACACTTCGAAGAGCCCGGTCTTGCCCATGCCGTCGAAGGTCGCGTCCTCACCGCTGCCACGGATGGTCACGGTGATCTCCGTCTTGCATTCGAGCCGGTTCTGCAACTTGATGATTGTGCCAGATGCGACAACGACGATGACGCTCGCTTCCATGCGGCTTTGGTTGAAGATATCCAAAAGCTGCTCCTTGCTGTTAACCTCATAGTAGGGTACAGACGGCGGCGGCGGCGGCGGCGGCGACAGCGGAGGCGATAGCTCTGCGGTGGAAGAGAGAGCAAAGGCGGCGCAGAACCCCATCCTTACTTTTGCACAAATGAAGAAAAAATCGACCCTCCAAGTGCTCCTTACATACACGCGACCCAACGCCTCACCCGCTCACTCACTCACTCTCTCTCTCTACCTCCACGATGTCCGTCTCTCTCTCCTCTCTCTCTCCTCTCTCCTCAGTCTCTCGACTCTCGCTCTCGACTCTCCTGAGGTCCTCGGTCCGCTCGCAGCCACACGTGCACTCCACCGGTGGGTTGGGCCCACGCGGCATCTCCTGCGCGCGCAGCGCTCGCTCGCTCAGCGTCGGGCGCGCATGATGCGTGGGCGATGGGGGGATGGTGCGGCGGTGCCAGGCCCGGTGCAGCGGTGGGTGTCAGCGCGCACCGGCTCGCCCCGCCGGCTGCCCTTCCGGGGCGCGCGAGGCAGGCAGCAGAACGCGCGCAGGGAGCAGAGCTCTCTGCACGGCGCATGGGTGTCGAGCGGAGAATTTTTTTTCGGTGGTACAGACCCAAAGATACCACAACAAACACTGCTCTATCACATTGGCACAGAAAAAAGTCTAAAAGCAAGCGCTCGAGGCAGCAAGCGCTCGACTTCCAAGCCACCCGCCGTGTTTTGTCTTCCGCCTGGCCGCTCGAGTCTTCCGCCTCCAAGTGCGCGCCGCCTGCCCGCCTGCCCGCCTGCACTGCGCGCTCCTGCGCTCCTCCACGCCGCCTCACCCCCACGTGCGCTCCGCCTCGCCGCCTCGCCGTGCGCGCTCTCCCCACCGCGCGCTCCCAACTGCGCGCCGCTGCACCAGAGCCGCTGCACCAGAGCCGCTCAGCCACCGCACCTCGCCGCACCTCGCCGCCGCCGCCGCCAACACACGCGAGGCTGCTCTCCTCCTCCGCCTCGCCCCGTAACCCGCGCGCTCTCCACCGCCGCGCGCTCGCACATGCCGCTCCACCGCTGCACCAGCAGAGCCGCTGCCAGCAGAGCCGCTGCCAGCAGAGCCGCTCAGCCCCCCCGCCGGCACCGCACCTCGCCGCCCCCCCGCCGCCGCCAGCACACACGTGCGAGGCACCTCTCCTCTCCGCCTCGCCCCCTAACCCGCGCGCTCTCCACCGCCGCGCGCTCGCACATGCCGCTCTCCCCGCTGCACCAGCAGAGCCGCTGCCAGCAGAGCCGCTCAGCCCCCCCGCCGGCGCCGCACCTCGCCGCCCCCTCGCCGCCGCCAACACACGCGAGGCTGCTCTCCTCCTCCGCCTCGCCCCGTAACCCGCGCGCTCTCCACCGCCGCGCGCTCGCACATGCCGCTCCACCGCTGCACCAGCAGAGCCGTGCACCAGCAGAGCCGCTGCCAGCAGAGCCGCTGCACCCCCCCCCCGCCGGCGCCACACATCGCCGCCCCCCCCCGCCGCCGCCAACACACGCGAGGCTGCTCTCCTCTCCGCCTCGCCCCTAACCCGCGCGCTCTCCACCGCCGCGCGCTCGCACATGCCGCTCCACCGCTGCACCAGCAGAGCCGCTGCCAGCAGAGCCGCTCAGCCCCCGCCGGCGCCGCACCTCGCCGCCCCGCCCCCCCGCCACCAACACACACGTGCGAGGCTGCACCCCTCCCCCCCTCGCCCCTAACCCGCGCGCTCTCCACCGCCCCCATCTCCACCGCCCGCCGCTCCACCACCCGCTCTCCACCGCCCACCTCTCCACCGCCTGCCGCCGCTGCTCTGCTTCCTTCCACACAACCTTCACCCCCCCCCCCCCCAAACCCACCCACCCATCTCCCCCGCTTCCTCCGCCGCGCCTCCCTCTTGCCCAGCACCTCCCCACTCGCCGCCTTCGCGCTCCTTCTCCACCTCATTCCCAACACCTCTGCCATCACCGCCGCTGCTACTGCTGCTACTGCCACCGCTGCATCTGCCGATGCTACTGCCGCCGCTCCCTTCCACACCCCGCACGCACCCCCCGCATCTCCCCCGCCTCCTTCGCCGCACCTCCCTCTTGCCCAAGCAACCACCTCCTCTTGCCCAACCACCTCTCCTCTTGCCCAACCACCTCTCCACTCGCCGCGAAGCCCCGCGCGCGCGCATCACTCGCTAACACACGTGACGACAGTCACTGCAATCAGCTCGCTGTCTGAGCTGTAGGATGAGATTTGCGGCGATCCTGCTCACGCTTTTCTCAACCGGCGAAGCGGTGACAACTGTGACAATCTGTGGGTTTTCCATCTCCAACAAAGACTTCAACCAGGACGACCGTTTTACGATGCGCTCTTTCACCCAATGCAACACCAACGGATATGACAACCTCCGCTGGCACGTGACTTATTTCTATACGCCCGACGAAGTCGCCCTGGAGGCTGAGTTCCTGAACCAAGCAAGGAGACGTTATTTTTTCTTGGACGGATCGAACGGTGCAGGATTTACTTCCTACTATGGCAACCCTGTAACGGCCTCCTCTTCCAGTGAGTTTCAAAACGGGGAGGCTTCCGGTCTTCCCGTTCGATTCACAGCTTTCTGCCAGGACGACAACACTGCCTGCCCTTTTCACACGTGCTACTGCAGATTCTCAGTGACCTGGCGCCTGTCCGGGGACATCCCTTCTCCTCCGTCACCGCCACCGCCCCCCCTTCCGCCGTTTCCACCACAGCAGAGTTGCAAGTGCGATGCGGTGCGAGTGAGTGGCGCTGAGGACGGTCAGCCCTCTCTCATGGGCGTCTTTGACCGCTTCATGCTCCAGACACCGGACGGCCGGTCCGTCTATCGCAACAGCAACGGCCGGTACCTGTACTACTGGCCGGAGCACAATGACTGGAAAATTGGCGATGACTACACGTCCTCCGTGGCCATTTTGCAGAGCACCTCCGACTTACAGGCCCTCTGCCCTGAGGACGCCTCTGACTGGTACGCAACCGGCACGTCTGTCAGCGTGACGTGCGTGGCTTGCCCGGCAGCAACGATATCATCGTGGCGTGTGTACGATCTCGAGTACGACCTGGACGAAGTCTTCCTCCAAGGCGGCATTCGCGAGATCGAGCTTGCGAGTTCTCGAGAGTCGATCAACGACGCGACGTTTCCGACTAACACGGTCGGCTTCACCTTCACGTCTGAGGAAACGGACTCCTTCAGCTTTGAGCTCACCGAAGCGTCGCGAGAGGAAGTCGGCATGTCTCAGAGTCAAACAGAGAGTCGAACCTCAATCTTTGCGCCTCAGATTCCCCTGGGTGAGCTGGGATCGCTTTCGCTCGGCAGCGACGAATGGAGCGAGTCGGCAACTGTTGGGGACTACCAGTCGGAAGAGTTCGGAACCACCTACACGGAAGGCACCACAGTGGAGAAAGGTACGGCAAAAACTGTGGAATGGCCTTCTTCCGAAGTCCCTCCCTGCACGCGAGTTGTTGGGAAGATGCTTGGCACTAAACGAGTTGTCGAGGTGCCGTTCACTGCGCGCTTGAAGCCGGCAAGCGCGGCTCCAGACAATTGCAACTATGAGGTCCGCGGTACGTTCAAGGGGGTAGAAATTACAACGGTGCGTCTCAAGGTTGAGGAGGACAATGACTTCGAGTTTGACGGAGCTTGCGCGTCTTTCTCCGATGCGGCGTCACCGCCATCGCCGCCGCCTCCGCCATCTGGCCAGGGAGATGAACCCAAGAAAGACATCCCCGGAAGCGACACCATTGACGACAACTCCGACGACGACTACAGCAACTCCAGCGACGGCATCGCCCCAATCGTTGGAGGCGCCGTTGGAGGCCTTGTTGCTACCTTCGTGTTAGTCATCGTCCTCGTCTACCTCCTCAAGAAGCGCGCCCAACCCAAGGTCCCACCCGCATGCCCACCCGTCACCGTCGGCGTCGAGGTGCACGCTGCGGCCCCACCGCCTGCAGGCAGCGCGCGCCTCAGCACCTAGCCGGTAGTGCGCGCGCGGGCGAAGCCACCATAGTGCAACGCGAGCACAACCAAGCAAGGCACGCATGTAATTTGCAGATCGATCACCCGATCATCGCTGCATGCGCGGGCCTTGGTCCGCGGTACCGCTGGACGGCATTGGGCCAATCCTTGAGTGAGCGCTGAACACTGACTGTGCGTGAGAGGGGGTGGGCGGTACCTGGTGTGGGGACTTGGGAGAACCGTGGCAGTCTAGTCTAGCGTGCGTGCAGCGGTGGCTCGGAGCGTAAGCGCTCTCGAGCCACGGTCTGTGGCCGGGCTCGATTCCGGCACGGGGCCCGCAGCGCTGTCACCTGTCAGCCTACGTCTCTGGACTGCCGTCGCCGTGGTGCGATTTCTCTTTTTCCTATGGAAAGTGGAATTCTTCTTTTGTCCCATGCCCGTGTGTACGTGGGTATATATGACCAGCGCCGTCACTGCCACGCTCACCGTCCACGGTCCAGCTACAGCCATCTCCCCTGATTAGGATAAGGGAACGTCGTGCAGACTCAGGCAAGATTTCTTCTTACTTCACTTGCGCTGCAGCCGGGGCGCGGGGGGGTGCTCGCGAACGGAGCTGTGACCGGCCACATGTGATCCAAATGTAGTGCTATAAGACAACACCACAGGGCTCCGGGGGCACCTTTAACTTCGAGTAAAAAAGAAAAATCCAAAGCGCACCCCTCAAAGTAATGCGAGATTTTGATGCGGCCCGACAACGCACGCAAAACCCATGCGCCCTTCCACCCTCTCCCAAGCGAGGCCCCAATTTTTTGACGAGAATTTTCGAATCCATGTCATAATGCCGAAATTCAATGCCATTGCTGTGGTGGGGGGGGTTCCTCGCTTTCTTTTGCATGGCTGTCGGATCTAGGATCAATGAGCGTGCAACCATGCGAGAGTCAGTTTACATGTGCTCTCTGGTCTTACTCACGGGCCGGCGAGGGAAGACTGGCAACACTGCAAGTGACATGTGGATCGATAAGTACGGCGTTGTTTGGTCGCATCCCGACGTCGAGCCCACGGAAGAAGACATGGAGGCAGAGCACGAAATGGAAGTTGAATTGGCGTGCCGCGCTTGGACGCCACCCCGCCGGCGCAAGGCCCGCAAGACCATCCCTGGGCAAGCGGCCTCCGTCCCAATCATCGAGGTCATGAAAGACTCGTCCGGTCGCATCATTGGCTGCGCCAGCATTGATTAGGCAAAAGGGTGCGCGGGCCGGCGCAGCCGCAGGTTGTAGTTGTAGTGTTTGAGACATTCTGCGACAGTCAGCTTCGCGCTCGCTGTTTTTTTTTCTTCTATATGAAATGCCTCGCTCTTCACAGAATTTGAAGGCCTACCGACGGCCGCGGCATCGACAGACAACGTCCAAACCGTGCATGATCGAAGCGAGGCGCCTGGCGCGCGCGGCGCTGCAGCGAGCCCTCCAGCACTTACTGAATGAGGAGACTCGGGGCGTTTACCAGGGCGAAAAAACTGTCAGGAACAAAACGAAAGCTTCCTTGATGGCTTTGAACAATGTCATTTACGTTGGCTTCACGTTGGCCAAAACTGTTGACACACGCGTCCAGACCCACATAAAAAACTATCGTAGAGCGGGCGCGAGGATTGGCGTGTTCATAAGCCGGCGTCGCAAAGATGGAGGCCAATTCGAGCAAGAGCTCATCGACTACTTCAAGGCAAACCAGGCGCGAACGTGGGAAGCTAGGGGTCTCGTCAACCTACGAAAGAGCAGAGATAAAGGGAAACCAGGATTCGTGTATGTGCTCGTGCGCGTCCAGTGAGCGTGACGTCAATGTTCATTTGCACAGGTGAGCAACATGGACTCACTTGCGATGGATGTGGAAGCCAAACGCGCAACCGCAGATCAAGCTCACGCTGCGCCACGGCGCACGGGTATTTGGGGGGCTCCAGAAGTTTCAGCGAACTGTCGGAGCGATTTTTTCCCTTACCTATACTATATTCCCCCCTCCTCCCACGATAAATGCCAGTGCCAACAACAATAAAAGGTGTAGCCGTCAACACTGTCCGAGGCAGATACGTGCTGAGAGCACGAATTACAATTTTTAAACGACTGGCTGCAAGGTCAAGGTGAAGCGCTGGGTGCTCACCCCGGCAGCTAAAAGGGCAGCGAAAGCCAAGACCAAGCGGGCCCAGACGAAGAAGGCGGGCCAGCGCATGCGGCGACGACGCTAAGTCAAACCGCCACTGATAGCATGTGTGAAGCAACTCTGTGCGATAGCCAAGACCAAGCGGGCCAAGACGAAGAAGGCGGGCCAGCACATGCGGCGACGACGCTAAGTAGCATTATGCAAGGCGTGCAGGTTGATACCTAGAGAGGAAGAGGAATGGGGAGAGGAGGTCAGTTTCTTGGAGAGAGGTAGTTGCTATGGCCTGCGCGCTGAGCGACCAGCAGCGCTGGACCACGCGCTGACGCCACCCCGCCGGAACGGTCGGCTTTGGAGGCGCGCCCTTTTGCATGCGAGACCCCGCAGCCCCCCCGCGTGCACAGTCTCGGCTTCCGGGGCGGCCAAGGCC